CTCACTACAAGCGCTGCCGTCACCACCACACAACGCCGCACATCCATCCCACTCACAATCACACCCGCCACACCTCCACCACGCACACGACAACAAGCGCGAAAATACCCTGACGCAACCGAGTGGGGCAAAGCACACAACGCAGAATTAGACCAGCTTGATCTCACGCAGGCAATCGACTGGGATCCATACAAACACCTACCGCCACGACACGAAATCATCCCTATGACCATGACATACAGATACAAACCAACCACCAACGACCCAACAGCAGTCACTAGGAAAGCACGATGCTCAGTGCGCGGCGACCTCATGATTCCGGGCATCCATTACGACCCACTCAAAGTTGCAACATACATGGCAGAAAAGTCAACCGTACGCATCATTTTCGCATTAGCCGCAGCGCACGACATGCACCTTGAACACTTCGACATCACGGGTGCATATTTGCACGAAGCGTATGACCACACAACGCCGGTATATGTCTGGCAACCCAAACGGTTTGACGGTTCTTACAAGCACGAAGCAGCCGCAGGGCAGCTCAAAGGCAACATATACGACACTCCACCAGCCGCTCATACGTACTCAACCAAACTGTACCAACACCTCAAACAGCACGGATACACCCAAACCAAATCCGATCCTTCCCTATTCTTCAAGCGCATGCGCAACGACATCATTCTCATCGCAGTAAGTATGGACGATTTTTTGGCAGCTGCCAGCACCACAAAGCTGAATGACGAATTCCACAACACACTCCAAGTCAAATACAAAGTCAAAAGGCTTGGCAAGCCAACATCGTACCTCAATTGGAATATATCATACACGCAAGCAGGCATTCACGTCTGCCAGCGACAGCACATCCAGCACGTAGCGCAATACCTACACATGGCAGACGCCATACCACATCAAACGCCATACGCAAACGGTGCCAGAGTAGACCCATCAACACCGAAAGAAACTGCAGATGAAAAAATCACCGCACCATATCGTGCAGCACTTGGTGAAATCCGCTACATTGCGGACTGCAGCAGACCAGACATCAGTTACGCCACAGCAGCGCTAGCACGAGCAAAAAAATGTCCCACTCAACGCCACTGGAACTTCCTCAAAAGGACCGTCAGATACCTCATCGGCACAAAGAATCACGGTTTACTGTTCCCCCACCACAACACGGCACCCCTCCTCATAACATACGCTGACGCTGACTTTGCCAATGACACCGTCTCAAGGAAATCCATCTCCGGTTCAGTATACCAAGTGCACGGCGCCACAGTGCACTGGCGTTCCAAGCAACAACCACTGGTAGCCCAGTCCACGTGCGAGGCCGAGTATATAGCAGCCGCCGAAACTGCGCAAGACACCGTCTGGCTCCGCAACATGTTCACAGAGCTGGGATACACACAAGAACAGCCCACCACCATGTGCATAGACAATGCTGCAGCAATCACCATCGCGCGCAACACCGCACGGACAAAACGGCGCAAATGCATCGACATTCGCTACCACCTCCTGCAAGACCTCGCACAACACCAAGCGTTGTCCCTCAAACATGTGCCAAGTCGGCGCATGTACGCCGACATCATGACCAAACCACTAAAACCCGCACTGTTCGAAGAACACCGATCCAACCTTGGGACATACCCAAGCAGCAAACAAGTCCACTTCCAACCAGACCCCACGCTCATTGACCCGCAAACCGCGCGTCAGGGGGACTGTGATGACCCACAAAATGAAGATCGTCGACGCGCGATTCACGGGCCAATCGCCCCATCCGCCCCAAAGATACAGTAGCCGGTGATGACCCACAAGCCAGGCCACAGGCCAGGCCACACCAATTGCCGTAGGTAGCACCACCAGAACAGAATAAAAGCTCGCCGTCGCTCGGCCCGCTGGCGCGGGACGGGCGGAGGCACGAGGCTTACTTCGTCACACACAGCTTTATGCTCCCTGGCAAGGGTCAAACTCTGCGTTCTAAATCACATCATGCTGTTGCACCTCACCACCGATGCAAACACGATTGCTAGGGAGGGAACTGCTGTACAATTCATTACAGTTTCTTGGTATGACAGTGATTACTTTACACGTGTACAGTACAGTTATGAATGCATGGGATTGTTCCATGACGTGGATACAATACCCTTCTGGGCGGCTCAATTCTAAAAAGGGGTCAATTCTAAAAAATCAATCCATCGTACTCCCGCCCTCAAACCTCAACCCCTTCCGAGAAAACTACCGCTCGGCCATCTCATGCCCTCCTACACTCTCTCTGATCCCTAGTAATGCAATAGACGGTGCCTCTTGCGGCGTGAGCAGAAATGCCACGCTCTATGCGGGCCCAAACAATTGCGCACAAGAAACGCCTTGCCAGACGCAAAGCCGAGCGTGTAGGAAGAGAAAAAGCACATCACTTCCTGATGCGTGGCGATCCCGCAAGAACAGTCTCCAGCTGAACGGTCATCTCTCTCTCCATCGTGTACAGCATCAAGAAAGCATTGACAGAAAAGGACACAAAAAGGCTTGAAAAACTGCTAGACCCTGAGTCGCACTTCGCTGGTCGCCGTCGGATTTTGTCTAGCACTGAGGAAAGTTTAGAAGTGTCAAGGACATTAGAGGGTAGTAAGAGACGATTTGCAGTAGATTGTGCACTCATGAAGAGCGTGCAGGAACAAATTGCGGAGGATTGATGTAATTCCTTTTCCAACGGTATCCCTTCCACCGACGCAATCCGATCCCTCCGAGCCCGACATAGGGAACTGACGTTTCGCGCGTCGGAGCAGGTTTCGAGCGCAAGGCTTGCAGCCCAAAACCCCACTCATATAGGTCCGCTCAAAGATGTAATCCAGAAGCTTCAGAAAAAGTTCCAAGACCTTTTTTCAGACCCGCGAAAAATCTGGATCTGGGACGAGACAGCCGTCTGTGGCGAGTATGGACAAAAGACCAAGTGTTTTGCATCATCGACAAGTTACCAGGGCGGAGCGCGAAGGCGAATAAAAGATCCCGGAAAACACCTGACAGCTGGTATTGCGGTAGCAGCCTGTGGCAATATTGCACCACCTTTTATAATTGCCTCAGGGAAGAAAGTCATGAAATCCTGGCGCTCTCCGCTTGATTCAACAGACTTCACTGACAACACGGGCGTACCTCACTGGCTGTGCAACAGAAATTGGTTTCCTGCTGACGCTGAACTGGTAGTTATCAATCATGGGTTCATCGACAAGGGCTTTATCGTCAAAGTTGTGAACCACATTAACGAACATGCACGAAAGACGATACCTGCTGATGAGCACATTTTTCTGCTTGTAGATGGCCACAGCTCTCGGCAAGGAGAGGTGTGCCTGCAAGAATGCGAAAAGCTTCGGATTCTGATCGTCAAACTACCCGCTAATACCACCCACTTACTGCAGCCATGTGACGAATCTGTCAACAAGTACTTTTAGCGCACGGTACGAAGACGAGAGATGACGTGCTGATGATAAATCATCCCCCGTGGGCGAATACGGCTTTTAAAATCAAGCTTACGTTGGCCGGACACCGTTCCCTGACTCCAGATATTGCCCGAAAATCCTTCATTGAAGTAGGCTTGTGGCCGATGAATTGCGAATTTATGGACCGCTTCGAACAAAGCCAAGTCAGCGACAACTCCCCTCGGAACCTTACCTACCAATCCCCAACCCGCAGGAGTCACGTTTGGTGAACTGATTCTATCGCAGAATCCCGACGTGAGTCGCGTCACCGTTGTTGAGAAAATAAGTCGAATTTCAAACCGGGGTGGTTGTGCGCAAAAATCACTCGCAAAGATACAGGTACTCCTAAACCATAAGTTCAAGGTCAACCGACTTTTAAATACCAATGTCACGCCTACAAAATTTGCAAAAGTGTCAAAAAGAGGCTGCAAATCAAGTGCGTCCAGAGCAGCAGCGCAACTTCTCGAGGCTCCGAAGGAGAAAGAGATTTCGTTCAGTAGCAAAGACTGTGTTTCGGAGCCTGGAAACACTAGCCGAAAGATAATTGAGATGCCAGTCATCCGAAATGGGTCTGATGCTGAGAAAAAAAACCACGTTCCCACTGCAGAGCTTCGTTTTGTCCAGGCACGAGAGGGTCCTTGTACGGACGTTTGGGATGACATCCCGATAGCGCAGTGGGCCAGGGCACGCGGAAGGGGTGTTGCAGAAGGCGAAGGTAGCTTGTCGCATGGCAGAACCAAAACGGCGGCGTCGGGATTGATGCTTTTGGCACACATTCGTTGATAGTGCTTCGCAAACTTTTTATAATTGACCCCTTTTTGTGTTTTCATGCTCGTTCGGGCCTCAGTTCGGGCAAGAAAACATCGTTTTGATTGGTAAATTCAACGATTTTTGCCTTTCTGAAAAGTGTTCAGAATTGAGCCGCCCAGAAGAGTACAGTGTAGTTGGCAGTGGAGGGGGATCGCTCCTCTAAAACAAAATTGGAAGGCACAAAGGCCTGGACGTATAAACCGCTCGTGTATTCTCCCTCTCACCCTCCCTGCTTCTCATTTCTCTCCACACTACTACTAAGGATGCGTTCCGTAGTTGCCTTGCTCCACAGCTTGTGGTGACCGACACTGCAAGCGTCGGTTGTTGCACTATTGATTTGCATTGACCTTCGTGTTGCCAAATGTCGTAGAGCACATTGCGATTGTAGAGAGGGAGAGTGCGAGGAAGTCGCACTGCCGGTTTTCAGTGCTGTGCGTAAACGTGTGCAGCTGTACAGGATTTGCCACAACAGTACAGTAATTTACTGGTACAGTAAAATCATTGAAGGATTTTACTCTGTAATGTAATCACCAGGACGGCAGAGCGGATGTCTCGCAGTCAACATTTGTCGCTGAGTGTCAGCGGATGTGCCTTCTGGCTTTATCTCTCTGTAAAGCACAAGGCTCAGAAAACTCCGCCCTTGTCCCCGTGCCTTGCAGTCGTCCTACATCACGCTGTTGCGCTTCCGCCTGCTGCGCGATTGCGGTTGAAACCCCCCCATAGCGACACATCTCTACCGCCATCCGAGGTTTCACCGCGCACACCGTCCAGTGATAAGGCTGATTGGCGAGAGCTCATTTGTGCATCTACATCAGAGCTTTGATTGACCGCTCCGGCGATTCAACGGGGCGTGTGTCCGGGCTCTCTGCATCATGGTAAGTTCCAAACCGATCACCACACTCTGCACCGCGAAGTGCAGCACCTGCGATCTGCTTATAGATATTAGATCTCCGCGGTTTCGATTGAAGACTAACGCGCTCGTTAACTTAATGCTCTTTTGGTGTCGCGTAGCCGCTGCGACTGGATATTGAGAAGAAGCTCACTCAGCGATCGGAGCGAGTCAAATGTGTCGACATCCATCCGACGGAGCCATGGGTGCTCGCTTCCATGTACGACGGCCATGTCTTCATTTATGACTACGAGACCGGCTCCGTCGTAAAGACATTTGAAGTTACAGATCAGCCCGTTCGATGCGGTGTCTTTGTTCCCCGCAAGCAGTGGATCATTGTCGGTGCGGATGACATGCATATTCGATGCTACAACTACAATACCATGGAAAAGGTCAAGATTTTCGAAGCTCATATCGACTACATCCGGAGTATCACTGTTCATCCTTCCCTCCCCGTCTTTGTGAGTTGCTCGGATGATATGCTGGTAAAGGCTTGGGACTGGGAAAAGGGCTGGGAGTGTACCATGCTTTTTGAGGGACATTCGCACTACGTCATGCAAGTCAAGTTCAACCCGAAAGATCCCAACACGTTTGCGTCTGCCTCCCTTGACCACACCATCAAAGTTTGGAATCTCAGTTCTCCAGTACCGAATTTTACCTTGGAAGGACACGAAAAAGGAGTCAACTGCGTTGATTATTACAATGGCGGCGACAAACCTTACATTGTTACTGGCGGAGATGACAAATGCGTCCGCATTTGGGATTATCAGACCAAGGCCTGTGTACAAACTCTTGAGAATCATTCTCACAATGTTTCCTGCGTCGCTTTTTTGCCCGATCGCCCTCTGATTGTATCCGGATCAGAAGACGGAACGGTACTCTTGTGGCATTCTAACACATATCGTCTTGAACAGACACTCAACTATGGTTTTGATCGGTGCTGGTCAATAGCCTATCTGAAAGGATCAAATAAGGTCGCCCTCGGTTTTGATGAAGGTACGGTGCTTGTGCAAATGGGAAAGGACACCCCCGTGGCTTCCATGGATACATCCGGAAAGGTAATTTTGGCCAAGCACAACGAAGTTTCTACAGTGAACGTAAGGACAATCCATGGCGATATAACTGATGGAGAGCGTTTGCCGCTTGGGACAAAGGAGCTAGGGTCATGCGAGCTGTACCCGCAGACTTTGGCGCATAGTCCCAACGGGCGCTTTGTTGCCGTTTGTGGGGACGGCGAGTACATCATTTACACAGCACTCAACCTTCGCAACAAGTCATTTGGTTCAGCCGATGAAGTCGTCTGGGACAACAGCGCAGGGGAGTACGCTACGAGATTAGGAACAAATGATATCCGAGTTTGCAACCGAACGTTCAAGGAACGAAAGTCAATGCGCCCAACGTATGCTGCTGAGGCCATTTTTGGAGGCGCTCTTCTTGGGGTATGTGGAAGAGACTTCATATGCTTTTACGACTGGGAAGACTTGCAACTTGTTCGTCGCATAGACGTCGAGGCTACCGGGGTTTATTGGTCCGATCAGGCTCACCTTGTCGCTATCGTAGGAGAGTCATCTTTTTACGTGTTGCAGTATTCGCAAGATGCTGTGAACAATGCGTTGGACGCTGGTTCTGGTCAGCTACCTGAGGACGGTGTTGATGATGCGTTTGAACTTATCCATGAGGTACCAGAGACAGTGCAGACAGGGCGGTGGGTTGGGGATTGCTTCGTTTACACGAACAGCAATGCGCGATTGAATTATGCTGTGGGAGCAGAGGTATCCACTCTCGTCCATATGGACCGACCAATGTACCTTTTGGGATACTTACCAAAGGAAAACCGCTTGTACTGCATAGACAAGGAACACAACATTGTCAGTTATACCCTCCTCCTTGCTGTTTTGGAGTTCAAAACGGCTGTCGTTCGGGGCGGTGTGAAGATTGCGAAAGACAAGGTTTTGCCTCGGATCCCATCGCAAGAGCACAACAAGCTAGCACGTTTTCTAGAGTCTCAGGGATTACGTGAGGACGCAATGGAGCTGGCAACTGACCCAGACTATCGCTGTGATCTGGCGATTGGGCTTGGTCGATTAGATCTTGCTACTGACATCGCTAGAAACTTCCCGAGTGAGCTCAAGTGGCGTCAACTAGCGGACCTGGCAACCGTGAAGGGCGACTTTGTGCTGGCAGAGGAATGCCTGACGGAAAGTGAAGACTACAGTGGGTTACTGACACTCTACTCAGCGAAAGCGGACAAGAAAGCCATGCTGAATTTGGCAGACAAGGCGGCAGCGGCACACAAGATGAATGTCGCTTTTCTTGCCAACTACATGTGTGGGGACATGAACAAGTGCTTGGACATGCTGATATCCAGTGATCGGATTGCGGAGGCTGCCGTATTTGCTCGGACTTACGTACCGAGTCGCATCTCTCCTGTTGTTGACATGTGGCGTAACGGTTTGAGGAAGGGTGGTAGTGTTCGAATTGCCGATGCCCTAGCAGATCCCGAGGCCCACCCTCACCTCTTCCCGGGAATTGACGATAGCATCGAGGGAGAAAAGGCGGCAAGTGCCTTAGCAGAAAAGCGGGAACAGCTTCCGGCCAGTGCCTTCCCAGAGCATCGCCATGAAGCTGGAATGGACCTCGCAGAACTGTTGCAGGCTGTAAATCTGAATGGCAATGGTTTGGCGGCAAATGGCATTGAAGAGGAACAAACTGATAGTACACCACAAGACATGGAAGATAATGATGATGCCGAAGTGACCGGCCAGCCCTCTGGCGAACCCGTCGAGAATTCTCCGACTGACGATACGGACTACCCCTCTGGTTCTGGAGAGGACAGTGCACTCGCGGAGGAGCAATAGAGACTTTGCGCTACGCCAGCATAACCGTATCTATCGTACCAAAACGGCGTTCGGTCAGGATGGATGCTCAGTTGTGCCGAAGGTGTAGCGGAAATGAATAATTAATATCTGTACCGCTAATAGTGAGCTGCCATCAGGCTCGTAATATCACAGTCACGCTTCGAGGCCCTGCGGTGTCCAGGATGTACAGGGAATCTACAGGCGCGTCGTCATCGAAGATGGGTTTGAAGCATTTCCTACGGTTCCAACTGGGAGCGGTAACGCAATAGTTGCGGACTAGGTGTAACAGAACAACTTTTGACTGTCGTGCTTTTGTATTTCTCCTTCTCAAAAACGCAGCCATCATAAACGCACACACAAAAATTCTGCATCGCCGAGGAGACCTTGCTTGTGTTAATAGCCCGAAAAATCTCTACCTCGCGAAGCGACCGGCACAAAACTCTCCTAGTACAGACACTGAGTCCCAGAGCGCATGCAAGAGACATTCTCTGTAGCTGTCGACTGCTTGTCCGTTGGTGATACGCACGGCTCGGTTCTCTGTACCGTCGTTGTTGTTGAACTCCGTGTTGCTCTCACACCGTACAACATCACATGTTCCACAAAGCGCCAGCTCTTCGTGGGTTACTAATGAGGACGTTTTTGATTCAGCAAGATACCCAGCACTCAGCTCGCTATGCGGCATTTGTCGAGGTTTGCTGTGGTTCAAGACCTCCGTGGGATGTTCGGAATGGCTTCTGCATCTCTTTCTCGTGTTTCTTTTGGCTTCCAACTCTGTGCTGTCGTTTGTGATGACATGCGGGTCTTGCAGAGATTTCTGTTTAGCAGTTCCGGTGAAACCTTTTCCTAGTAGGCTGTCGTGATAGTCCTCATCACAAGTGGCAACAGGAGCAGAACCCGAACACCTTTGTGTGGTGGACTCGCCCTGGTCTTGAAAGCTTGATGGAGCCCTCTCTGCTCCAGGTCCCGTGACCGGACACAGACTGGAGGATAAGGAAACTTCAAGGTTTCTTTCAAGGGAAGCAACAGGATAAATGGAATTCGCTTCTCCCACACTCAGGGCTCCACATTCGCGCGGTGTTTTTTTCATTCCTGGAAAACTGCTCGGGTCCCGATATAAGCCACGGTTTCCCTGACTACCGTTTGAACGCTGAGAAAAAGGAAAACGTAGTGGTCCCTGTCCAGGGCCCTGTTTAGTCTTCATAGGTGATCTAGAAGGAATCTTTGCATCGGGGCTTTCTACATGGACTACTTTTGTACCCGCATCTGGCGACCCCAGCGTTGCAGAACGAGAGGCAATTTTCGCAACTTCAGAGTCCTTGCCTATCTTCATGATTGCGTGATCTAGTTCTTTGGTAAGTTCGCCTTTGCTCCTCGGTTCTTCAAAATCGTCGTGGCAAATCAATTCTGTTTCTTTTTCCGTTTCGGCAGCCGTTTGATCTGTCAAGATATTTTCATGAATTCCCATGTGCAGAATTAAACGGTCTCTTTCCCCCTTGTCGTCAGTTTTGGATATCTCTTTTTCATTTGGGTGCTTGTAAGAAGCCTTGGTTACAGCTCTTGCTGCATATTTTGTCGTGCTAGGCGCGGGTGACTCTAGATTTTCGGGCCCAGTGCAGTTGGTCCTTTTTTCATCCCCGAACAAATCTGTTGCGACTGCTCCCGTCCCCCCATCTTTGAGTCTGAACAGGTCCAATAGATCAGGAGATGGGAGTGATATGTTTTTAGGATTCTCAAACCCAATGAAAAAGCTTTCATTGTACTGCTCTTCTCCAATATACATTCGTGCTCGTTTTGACAACTTTCGCCTTTTCCCTCCGTGTTGGTTTGATGCCTGTGAAACTATGAACGCAGTCTTGGGGGTTGCGTTTGTCGGCAGTTGTAGGTTGCAAGACTTGTCTGACTTCAATTCAGGGAAAGACGGAATACCTGCTTCACCTGTGGGACTTTTTTCTTTGGTACCGCCGTCGAGCATTCCATGCGACCGCGCCAGGCGAAGAGCTGATGCCACAGAGCCGTGCCTCATGCTTTTTGAGGACTTCAGTGGGCTCGGGTCATCTTGAGTACGTGAAATTTTGGACATTTGCTTGCGTTTTACATTCCCTTCCATATCGTGCGATGGTAAATTGCTGAGGTGCTGTTCGAATTGCTCTCGCGAACTTTCACCACGTTCTATCTCGTCGAGTAACTTAGCTTTCTCTGCGTTGAGATGTTGTTGCCCGGTTTCGTACTGAGCGGCTTTTTCGTGGCTTCCTATCTCATCAACATTGCTTGAATTATCGGTTGTCATGCGAGTTTTCGCCTCCTTCTCTTTGCTGGGACTACTGCTGCGGTCGACTCGGTTTCCCTTCATTTTTGCTGCCAATTCAAAGGGCATCCTGTCATGGATATTCGGTTGCTGAGAAATAGACTCTATGCCTATCAGAACGTCTTTTTTGACTGTGTTGCAATTTGCCAAACGTTCACGAAGTGCCTGGCGTTTCCTTTGCTCTCGTTTTCGGTTCCTCAAGTTGCGTTTGCGCTTGGCTTCAACTGACAGAGTTCTGACCCTCTTCTTTCGCGTTATCGACAGTATACTTGATTGCTCAGGAAGAATTGTTTCATTAGAGCGAACCCCACCTTTGTATTGATCAGGCTGTTCGCATTCTATGACACCAGTTGTCCCTTCCTTCGTATCGCCAGAGGAGGCATTTTCTAGCGACACGTGATGTCGTAACTCTTGGCGATTGGAGTTTTGCCCGACACATCGGTCATACAGCCGATCGAAGTGGACGCGTCTTTTAGGCAGAGTAGGTGCTATTTGTGAGCAAGCGACTTGTGTGTCCTGGCGTGCTTTTGCGGCTCGTGACGAAGATTTGTTTCCTCCTAAAACACATTCCATTCCGGTGTCGTCGGCTGGAAAGTATGATTCTGTGGCGAAGTTTTGCTTCTTGTCGAGAAGATCAGCCTTTGATGACATCGTAGGGTCATCTGTAGGAGTGCAGAACGGATTTCTCGACGGTACATGATCCTGCCCAGACTTTTGAGAAGGCTCTGAAACCCCAGTGCAACTGTTCTTATCTTTTGATTTCGAAAGCAGGCCTAGAGCAGAAGTGGGGTCACGCGTCTTAACAGAGGCATGATCATACTTCATTTGTCTACTAATGACGGGTGTGGTACGATTTCTACGAGGGGTGGATGAGTTCTGCTTCCTAGGGCTTTCGAGAGCAACACCTGCAGGTACCCTTGAGTTGGTGAGCGGCTCTGAAACCTTTTGAAGAGATTGCACAGGGCTCTCCGACTGGGAAATAGCACTGAACTTAAAGAACGAACCGGTAGATGCACTTGCTCTCTTCCGCTTTTTAGATGGATTTTCTGCCTTGCTCTTTGTATGTGCCTGTCGAGACCGTAATTCAAGGATATCACCGTCCCGAACTACAGCGATTTGCTCTTCCATGAGAAGCGGACAGCCATGCAGTGACAGTTCCTGGCTCTCCTCCGCCCCATGAGCGAGGGAAGAATTGGATAAAACGGCATGAAACACATCTCGGACGACCGAGGCGGACGACGGCACTAGCATCCATCGCCCTTCGGGGCATCTGGCGGACTTGATACGTACCCGTATGGATGCAGAAGATGCCATGAAGGTGCACGGTTCGTCGAAGGCGGCGTCAGCGGCATCTAGTCAGTGGAATTCTGGTAATGGAGGAACGGAGGCATGGAGCAGTGGTTGAGTTGTGAGCAGTTTAGCTCCCGTTTCGCCTGCTGATAAGTCTGCCCTTTGCCTAAGTGACTCAAGTGTACGAGCGAAGTTGTATGATTATGTGCCAAATTCCCTCGTCAAAAGCGACACATTCAACTAATTTTTGGGGCTGGTTGCTATATTTTTCATAAATCAATAGTATGGCCTGGCCTACTGTGAGCGTTCACGAATCCATCCGCGCACAGCTCCGCGACAGTCCCAACGTTTTCAAGATTTGTCTACCAAAGCTCAGCACAAACCTCTGCAGTTGAATTGAGCGAAGAAGGGTGGGGAAGGAGATTTTATCAGCTCGCGCACTTCTCTTCAGAATGGCGTCAAGATTCGGAGCTATGGCAACGGCAATGCGCTCGTTGCGTCGAACCCTCACGACTGATTCGCACGCCGACTTTTCTCGCGTGGTTAAAACGCCTCCAACGGCCTCTGTGCAGGATCGCATCGCTGCACACCTCAAGGAGTCGAAAGTAGTGGTATACATGAAGGGCTTGCCCTCTGCTCCGCAATGCGGCTTTTCATGGAAAACTGTGCAAATCCTGAACGCCATGGGAGTAGAATATCGAGCGCATAACGTCCTTGTTGATGACGATTTGAGGCAGGGGATTAAACAGTTTTCGGCATGGCCGACCATCCCACAAGTCTACGTGGACGAGGAGTTTGTCGGGGGCTTAGATATCGTCGAAGGCATGGCCCGATGTGGCGACTTGAAGAAGCTTCTGAACGAGAAGGGGGTGCTCGATGCCGATGCCCAGAAGGCAAAAACCGAAGGGAAGACAGATTCTTGATGAACGTCTTTGCGTATCTTGCCCATTCTTCGAGATAGAACAGACCTCGGACAAGACCCACAGTGTATTATGTACGGGTGGATGTGACAGAATTAGCTCCGACACCAGGAGTAGGTATCTATCTGTTGCGAACATTGCTCATGGCGAGGCATCTCTAACCGATTTCTGAAAGCTTTATTGTTATACTGTAGAAGTCGTTCATTCCTTTGCTCCTATCGAGTTACGGCTCTACTTTCTGTACACTATGGTCCGACATCAAATACAGCTGGCAAAAATCAGCAAATTCACAGCGTGACCCACCATACTTCCCCCCCTATGCTCCCTTTGCCATGGAACCAGTATCACTCAACTGCGCTGATGTGAATCTTCAGCGACTGTTTTGTTCGTGCACCCTCCATATTTGCTCCCCGAGGACGTTTGCGACTGATAGAATTTTCAACTGCGCAAACCTTCTTTCTGGTGGAATGTTGATCGTGTTCGTCACAATGACTTCTTCAAAAACGCCCGACGACAGCCGCTCCACAGCCGGGCCCGAGAAAACGGCGTGTGTTGCCATCGCAAATACCTGCCTAGCACCCCTTTCCTTAAGTATCTTTCCCCCCTCGCAAATGGTACCCGCCGTGTCAATCATATCATCGACTATGACAGCGGTCTTACCTTCAACTTCTCCAAGTAAGTTGAGGACTTTTGCGGTATTGTGACCATCCCGACGCTTGTCAATAATTGCAAGGGGAGCATCATTCACGCCCTTCGCAAAGGCACGTGCGCGAGCAACCCCGCCAACGTCAGGCGCGACGACAACAATGTCGTCCAGTTCCTTTTCACAGATGTACTGCTCTAGTACGGCCGAAGCATACACGTGGTCAACAGGGATGTCGAAAAACCCGCAAGTCTGAGGAGAATGGATGTCAACCAAAACAATACGATCAGTGCCTGCTGTTGATAGCATATTGGCGACTAGCTTGCTGGTAAGGGCTTCTCTGCGCCGACGATCTGGGTCTACGAGTCTGTCAGCTCTCGCGTAGCCGTAGTACGGAATGACGGCAGTGATTTGGTGAGCGGAGGCTCTTCTGCATGCGTCAATCATGAGAAGCAGCTCGATGAGATTATCGTTGGTAGGATTTGAAGTTGCTTGAATGAGGAAGACATTGCAGCCACGAACGGACTCCTCAATGCGCACATAGGTCTCGCCATCGGCAAACCGCTTTCGCAGCATGGCTGAAATACCGCTCTTGCCAACATATTTGGCAATATCGTCTGCAAGTGGAATGTTGGATGTACCGGAGAAAACACGCATGCGGTGCGAGCCGAAGTTAACGCCCTGTGGAGGGGAGCGTAACTCCGGGAAGAGGGCGCGAGGGGTAGAGGTCTCGAGAGGCACAGAGTTTGGAACGGGTGGAGGTTGATTGGGGACAACTGGAGCGTTTGGTGGTTGGGGCTTTTGGAGCGTTGCATGGAGGGATCGTTTTGTGGTCCAGGAAGAAGCTTTGCGAGATGTCTGAAAGAAAAACAGACTGCGGCAACGAGATCGGGAATCGGTAACGCCTAGGGGAGCTGCGAAACAAAAGTTCATGATTGGTTTCTCAAGGTGCAGAGTCTTTGACGGGTTGATACAGTTTTCGAAGACAAGACAAGCGATGTCAAAGAGGTTGGGTGAGGCAGAGAAGGACTCGGAGCAAATATGTGAAGACTTCGTGGCTGTGTCATAGACGGAGGAGACCACTTTGAGTAACACGAAGAAAACGAAGGCGATGTTGTTTTCACAGGAGACGGAAGCGGTCGTCGCCCGCACCTGGGTTTGGGGGGACGCAAATGTTGACACGAGTGGCAACGTATCTCTGGCGGTGAGCATCGGCGGAGTGATGCAAATCCACGAATCGCATTAGAGAGAGCGCAAAATTCTTGTACGCTTACTTGATACTATTTCATTGGTCGTTATAATCCCGTACTGCTTTCAATTGGTCCACCTGGCCGGAACCCTTCGTCGTGGCCAGTCGGCATATCTCCCCATTTTGAGGAAAGACCTCGTGCGTTGTGCCATGCCCGACGTCGACTTCTTATTGATCCTCTTAACACGACATTCACCTGGCTATTCTACCAGCTGCACTGCTACAGCCTCGTTCTCGTTACACGTTGTCTCTCAATTTTGTCACCGACCGCAGGAAAGAGACGCCAATTGCAATGAACCCAGCTGCACCGCGACTGGTCTCAGCCTTCATATCCACGTTCACGCCCCGCGTCATCTTCTCCTCATGGCGACCCTCTGTACGTTCGCTCACGCATCGACGTACCGTCCTTCTTGCCACTGCTCGTCGCCCATTGGCAACAGCAGTGGCCCCCTCGTCCACGTATAGTGCCGATGACATCACAGTCCTCAAGGGTCTCGAACCAGTCCGCCTTCGCCCTGGTATGTATATCGGTTCCACCGGCCCGCGCGGACTGCATCACCTTGTGTTTGAGGTTGTCGACAATGCCGTCGATGAGGCGCTTGCCGGCCATTGCACACGCGTTACGGTCGTACTGCACAAAGACGGATCCGTTTCCGTCCGCGATGACGGCAGGGGTATTCCAGTGGAGAAGCATTCCACAACGGGGAAGAGCGCTTTAGAGACTGTCATGACGGTTCTGCATGCGGGTGGTAAGTTTGGTGGCAGCGGATACAAGGTCAGTGGTGGTTTGCATGGAGTTGGTGTCAGTGTCGTTAACGCCCTTAGCGAGTGGTTAACGGTCAGGGTGTGGAGGGGTGGCCGACAATTCGTCATGGACTTCCGACGAGGCGAGCCACAGGGTGATATCAGAGAGGTAGAAGAAATGGACGGGACCGAGTCTGGTACCCAGGTCCGCTTTATGCCTGATAAAACAATCTTTACCACCACCTCTGAATTGGATCCAGCCACCCTGGGGCAGCGTCTAGAGGAACTCGCATTCCTGAATGCCGGCCTTGAGATAGTCCTCAGTGACGAGGGGAAAGAACGTACCGAGGAGAGCGAGGAGCGACCGATGCTGGTGAGGACGTTCAGACATGATGGCGGAATTGGCGAGTATGTGGATGCGCTCAGCCTTGGAAAGCATGCATTGCATACACCAGCGACCATGGTTTTTACTGGCGAGAAGAATGACGTTCAGGTGGAAGTAGCCTTGAGATGGAACTCGGATAGTTACTCGGACAAACTCATGGGGTTTGCAAATAATATTCGCACGGGAGACGGTGGAACACACGTAGAGGGCCTTCGAACGGCTTTGACCAGAACGATTAACCAGGTCGCGCGCAAGTCAGGGAAACTGAAAGATAATGCAAGCAACATTGGTGGGGAGTATATCCGCGAAGGACTGACGGCCATTATCTCGGTTAAAGTTCCAAATCCGGAATTTGAAGGGCAAACGAAGTCTCGTCTAGGCAACCCGGAGGTGCGATCAACAGTGGACGGCGTAGTTTCCAGGTCCCTCACTGACTTTTTTGAATTTAATCCAAACATCCTATCGGCCATTGTTGAGAAGGCCCTTTCTGCTTTTGCTGCGGCTGAAGCAGCGAGACGTGCCCGCGAAGTTGTCCGAAAGAAGACAGTATTGGAGAGTTCAACGCTTCCCGGAAAACTTGCGGATTGTGCCTCCCGCGACCCATCCCTGTCGGAGGTGTTTCTTGTCGAGGGTGAAAGTGCTGGAGGTAGTGCAAAGCAGGCGAGAGACCGTGAATTCCAAGCCATACTGCCGTTGCGAGGGAAGATTCTTAATATTGAAAAGACTGATGACGCCAGAATATACGAGAACAACGAGATTCAGGCTCTCATTACAGCCCTTGGGTTGGGTATTCGTGGTGATGACTTTAACAAAGATCAATTGCGATATCACCGCATCATTATTATGACTGACGCAGATGTGGATGGAGCTCACATTCGCACTCTGCTACTTACTTTCTTCTTCCGGTATCAGAGGAGCTTGATTGAGGAAGGCTATGTGTACATCGCATGTCCGCCTTTGTACAAAGTGGAAAAGGATAGAAAGCATGTGTACGTATTTAGTGAAGAGGAACTTCGCGAGTACGTGAACAGCTTACCTCCAAATTCGAAGTATACCTTGCAGCGCTTCAAAGGTTTGGGAGAAATGATGCCGACACAGCTGTGGACGACCACAATGAACCCAGCCGTGCGTCAATTGAAGAAGGTGGAAATCGAGGATGCGATTATCGCTGATCAAGTATTTACTGTACTTATGGGGGACAAGGTAGCACCGCGCCGTGAGTTTATTGAAGCTCACGCCGCGTCCTTGTCTTTGGACGACATTGACTTCTAACTTATTGACTACGGTAAAGGTGTAAAGCACTATCCAGCGAACCCCTCACGTTGATCGGAGTATTGCTCGGGTAAATATACTACATTTTTATTGAACATGGGTTGTCGGTTGACAACAATCACAGTAATATTCAGGAATAGGGAACATAGCGGCCTGAATGCGCCTATACGCTAGCAGCACTCGATTTCGAACAGTCTCATCTGCACAGTCTACCTCCCCAGTCAGCATATTCACAGTTACTTTTGTCAGGTCCACGACCATGCGAACTTTATGCGGAAAGCCCTTTATCGAATGCGTCTTTCCGAAACGAGCCGCCAATAACTTTCGTCCCAGTTTCAACGTCTCGCTGACACCCGGTTCCCCAGCATGCGGTGAATCTGATATTGTGATTGCAGCAATGGCTTCGGTCAAAATGTCGGACGCGTATCCGCTGGCCCAAGCCATTTGTACCGAATGTTCATCTTTCTGAACAATTAACACCGATCCTTTTGCCATGCTTATGACTTTGCCTTCTTCATCGAATCTTACGCCTCGAAATATAGTGTTCAACTGTGTAGCAAGAGTGACGAGGGATTTCTTCAATGGAAGCACTTGTCGCTGATCAATCTGCGAAAGCTTTAACGAGGTATATTGCGGGAGGTCTTGAGGCTTCACCAAAGTGTAGGAAAATTCTTGCTGGATGAGTAACCCAGATACCTTGGTGCCTGGTTTCGGCTTTTCCTCAGCAGCTAGAGGAAGAACATCGATGGCTTTTGCCATCTTTTCGTTCTTGAACTTGAGTTTAACAACGCCACAATTTAAAGGCGAATGGAGATCAAGCTTTCGCCCTCCTTCAGTTTTGTTGTGTATCGTATCTAAAGCTCCCTTCAGACGAGCCATGTTGTTCTTTTCCCCATGTACTAAGACGCAATGATCAGGCTTCAGTTCTTCCACAAACATTCGGGTCTCCTTAAAGTCGGCATGAGCTGCAAATGTAATGTAGTCGACTGAACAGTTGAGTCTAGCTTGACGACCATCTAATTTTGTGATTGTTTCTGGTTCTGTCAGCACCTTCTTTGCCAGTGTGCCTTCAACCGAATATCCACTGAGCACAAGCCCGTTCTGTTTGTTGGTGCACCATCTCTCGAACAGCTCTCGTGACAGACCGTTTTGAAGCATACCTGGGGAGGCCATAAACACGCACGGTCCATCATCGGCAAACTGATTCATGCCTTTGATGTTCTTAACGTGCTTGAAATGAAATGGGTTGCTTATCTCGAACCTTCGCCTCACATTGTCATTCATCATGTTTACATATGTCTGATACACGGGCATGCATCGCTGAGCAATTGCGCTGGCGTAGTATATCGGCACATGGTGCAGGTCTGGATGTGCTTCCCAAAATTCGTCGAGAATGAGTAGCAATTCTTGCGCCCTTCCGAGTGCAAACACCGGCAGTAAAACTCTGCCACCCCCTCGCACAACTCGTGCCACGCGATCTGTAAAACGCTTTTCTCGAATGCCTCGGGGCTCATGCTCTTGAATGCCATAAGTAGATTCAACGATGAGTACATCAGGTCGAAACGGGGGAATTTCGGCTGCCTTCAAATGCCTGTCCTCTTCCCTCGAGTAGTCTCCAGTATATAAGACGCGAACACCAGCAATCTCGACCATAAACATGGCGCCGCCTAGAACGTGAGCTGCGTAAAATGGTCGGAATTTGATCCCCTTAACGTTTACTTCGGCATGGTAGTCAGCTACCTCAATACGCGACATGGTGCGATTTACGTCATCTTCAGTGTACAGAGATTCTTCACCTGGGGCGTTTCGAGATACTCTGACGAAATCGGAGAGTAAAGCTTTGTATATTGCTCGCGTCGGTTGGGTCATGAATACCCTTGCCTCGGGATTCAGATTCGTCCTCTCCATAAGAAAAGGGAGGCCTGCAGCGTGGTCAAGATGATAGTGCGTGATAAGAACAAGGTCTATCTCTTGTGCCTCGATATAGTCAAAAAATGGCAGGGATGAAATCCCAGAGTAGGCCGGGTGGACGCCGCAATCAAACATAATAGTCTTGCCCATAAATTTCAAAATGCAGCAAGACCTACCAACCTCATTGCCAGCACCGATCGGCATAATCTGCATCTCGTTCTCCATTGCGTCTGCCATTGTGAGGCTGGTTCTCGAAGTGGGGCAGGGCAGTTCAAGATTCGAACGCAAACCCTACCAGAATGTTATATCTCTTTCACAGAATCAGCTTGCGGAAACGACCGTTAGAAGCCCTGAGTAACAGACCAGTTCCCATGTGTAAGGAGACTTTGTAGCAAATAGCAACAAAAATGCAAGTATCTTGTTGTGGCATGATCCAGTCTTCTGCAGTGACTGTACATAAACTTCAAGTCTGATCAGACGGTACAGCACCGCGAGAGCGAGGAAATTTTTGATACCTGCAAAAAAAATCGAATCAGGGCAATTGCGGTTCTACAGTGCACGAAAATTGCATAAATACACCCCCCCAATCTCGAATAAAAGCATTTTCGACACTGTTTCCTGACGCCACCGGGGCATCAGCCCTCGAGGGCGCGCGCGGGAATCCAAATCCAAAGCCCCTTTTGAAAAGCAAAAAAGGACTTGGAGTTGTGCGGCAATATCCAGACGAAATTCGCATATGACCGCGAAAAACCAAAAGGTACAGAAACGTTCATCGACAAATCTTGGCGGCAAACCGAAAGAACGGAGAACGCATTGCCTCCGGTAGTTACATATTTAAACAGAGAAACATTTTAATAGCAGTAGAGCTATGGTATCATCTTCAAAGATGCCTCGCCGTAAGCTGTTATCAGACTTCGAGAAAGGTCAAATCGTGGCTATGAAAAGGGAATGCATGAGCATTCGGGAGACCGCTCGAACACTCTGCAGGTCTCCTGGTGCCGTACAAAACTTTTGCAAGCACCCAAAGCGGGTTGGCGCAAAGAAAGGCACGCGCAACGCATCAAAAATCAGCAAAAAGCAGACAAGACTGTTGCCTCGCGAGGCAAGCAAAGGCTAAAAATCATGCAAGGAACTGAAGCTGTACCTTGATATTGGGATTGGCGTTCGTCGCATTCAGCAGATCCTACGCGCAACACCTCACTTCAAATATAAAAAGATGCTGAAACGTCTATAGATGCTGGAAAGGCACAAGGTTGCCAGGTTGGAGTGGAGCAAAAAATTGTTGCAGAAAAGGAGTTCGTATTGGCGCCAGGTTGTTTTCTCAGATGAGAAAAATTCAACCTAGATGGCCCGGATGGCCTGGATTCATATTGGCACGATTTTCGGCGAGAGGGGAAGGTTTTCTCCACCAGGCACCAAGGAGGAGCATCCTTGATGCTTTGGGGTGCTATCTCCGTTCACGGTACGTCTCATTTAGTTCGTGTTCAAGGTACAATGGACTCTACGCAGTACTGCAGTGTCCTAGAGGAGAACCTGCTGCCGTTTGCTGCTGATAATTTGGGAGAACAATGGACTTTTCAGCAAGACGGTGCCTCTTTCCATCGCTCTAAGTACACAAAAGCCTGGCTTGATTCAAAGAACGTCAATTTATTGGATCGGCCAGCCAAGTCCCCAGACCTGAACATCATTGAGAACGTTTAGGGTCTGCTCGCTCAGCGTTTGTATGCTCATGGCCGCCAATTTGACAATTTAGAGGACCTTGCTGATTGCATTATAGATTGTTGGTGTTCTATCACAGAACAGTACCTAGGAAAGCTTTACGATTCAATTCCCCGTCGCCTTGTGGAGGTGTTGGAGAAAAAGGGCGGTCCGACGAGCTACTAGTTGGCCACAGTAAAACTGTCAAGGTACTGTACCCTTTGGTTTTTCGCGGTCATATGCAAATTTTGTCTGGATATTGCCGCACAACTCCAAGTCCTTTTTTGCTTTTCAAAAAGGGGCTTTGGATTTGGATTCCTGCGCGCGCCCTCGAGGGCTGATGCCGCGGTGGCGTCAGGAAACAGTGTCGAAAATGCTTTTATTCGAGATTGGGGGGGTGTATTTATGCAATTTTCGTGCACCGTACTGCATTACAGCATCACTACCGGTAGAATCAAATAACCAAATAACCAAAATTTGATGATTTGATGTGGATTGACATCCCAACCGGTCCGACCAAATCAGCAAATTTTTGGTTCCGAGCCAAATATAGGAACCAAATATCAAGAATTAGGTTCCGTTTCTTCGCAATTTGATACCTTGGACAATCCATTTGTTCAAGGCTCATTGGTCACACGAAAGGGCATCCCTCCAAACCCCCAGGACTGTGGGAATTGTCCCAGAAAAAGTTAAAGGAAATAGTTTAAACAGTTTATTAATGTCTAGAAGAGCCTACGACCGGCTCTTCAAACCCAACCGAACCTCCGGGTAATCGGAGCGCTGTTCGTGAAGGACTCTGCGTAGACACGTCTGTTCAAATCTGCCTCCGTGCAGACCCACGCGCTAGGCGCATGGGACTGTCCGTTATATACTAATTTACTGTAACTCTAAACAAGGCAAGTTCTTTCCTCACCGCGTGACCCATTCACGTGGTGAGGTATATCGCCATATGAGAGACATTATGATAGAAACTTTCACACTGCCACTTTTCCAGAAGTAGAACTTGCCAGAGTCCTGACAATCCATTTTCAGACAGTGTTGAGGTCGTAACCCGTATCTAGGAGCTTTTCTAAGGCTACGTTGGGATTTTCTTTCGTCAAACCATAGGCTACGTTGTTTTCGGATGAGACAAGCCGGACATGAGATATTTCTTCTCGGTTATAGAATTTTCTAGAGGATGCTATGTCAATCATCAGCCTTTTCTCTGTCTTTGAAGAACCCTTGGTGATGACGTCAAACATTTGTAGCGAATCCGTGAACATATGAAGTGGGATTCTCTTCTTGAATATCATTTGAAGGTCATGTCGTAATATGTACGCTCTGTCGAATCCGTCGGCGAAAGCGTACACCTCTCCACCAAGAATAGATCTGACTACTCGCTTAGACTTTCTGCTTGAGTAATCCAGAACATGTGACCGGTTTGTTTTATCACAAAGGAGAATGATGAACCCAAGCTGTGAGGACAAATCGTCACTTCCGGCGAAGGAAGCGTCTGCGTATACTCTCAGATGTAGCGTGGACTTGTTCAGTGGGCATATTTTAGGCACCTCTCGGGCGTCTTTTGGAGACGTTTGATCGTACTGTTGAAGGCCTTGATCTTTTCCACTCCGAAAGTACTAGGTGTAACCTGTGCAGCTTTGTTGATAGCACATAATGCGTCAGGTCTCGTGTACCCAACCCAAGCCAGTGTGGCGCGGTAGGATTTGAAGCGTTCAAATGATGCATCAAGCGGCAGTGGCTTTAGTCTTCCAATATAGGCCTTCTGTGATATTGTAAAATGACTGCTTCGCTCTGTTGAGATACTTGTTCCGAAGAAGTCAAATTTGTCCCATTCCCGTGGCCTCGATTCAAAGTTTTGGAGAGTTAACTTCGTAAGTTCCTGCATTGCCTCATTTCCTGCTGAGCATCCGTCATCGACACACATACCCGAGAGTCCGTTCACATCCTCTTTGTTACGTTTGATGTACAGAGACGGATCCCCTAGCAGAGGCACTAGGCCAAGATCATCTTTGGCTTGATGGTCGACGGTGACCCCCCAGTAGTCGCCCGCGTCCATCATACCGTACATTGGCCTGAGGAGTTCTAGAATCTCTTCCTCGGCGATTCCAAAGTGTTCGATGTCCTTCCTTTTAGGGAGCAAAAATACCTTACGGGTGAGTTTCTCCTCACCTTGGAGGTATGCCTGCGTTACATCGTGTGAGAAGATGCGAAATTCTTTGATCACCGCTACAGAGATTATTATTTTCGTCGAACTTTGTCGCAAGTTCGTAATGTTGTGGACCACGTACGATTTGTCTTTGTCCCGGTGACCCTGTGCTACGTAACGGGCTTTGGCAAGCTCATTATCCGTGCCTGCATTCTTAAGAGCCAGCACAAAACGCCCTCCCAAATTATTTGGGTTAGAAGGAAGAGAGTCCTTGGGTACAATCTTCCAAGTGTTCCTTTTCTCAAGACCGAGAACTTCTGATCTCATGGCTTTGGCGAATTCACCAGATTTTGCTCTTACATCCCCTTGTTCGATGATTTGGGTCATAATAATGTGGGCGTTGGTTGTCGTGTCAATCGGTGCAGCGAGTTCCAAAGAAGGGAACGGACCTCTCAAAGGTCCCGGTTTCCGTGAAGTAGTTCCAGGGTTCGCACGGATCCTGGTCAGTATTGATTCTAAATCGTCCAGCACGTCGCCTTGAGGTACTGTTGTAGGTTCCATGTGCAACTCTGCAGGCCCCGATACAGCTTCATTCTTTGGTTCACGAGTGAATAGAATGGGTACAAAGGATGCGGCAGTGTTGTACACTTTCACTTTGTCGATAGACACTTGCTTGTTAGTGCCGTTCAGATCAATGAAAACACTCTTATCCTTTACCCCCACGACCGTGTACGGACCAACCCACTTGTTCTCAGGCTTCTCCCTAAACACCAGAACGCGGGAGCCGATTGGTATATCGGTAAGAGCAGCAGCCGGGACATTCATGCGCAAAGCCCTGGTCACTCTTTCCTTTGCAATGACTTTGGTCATTTCTTTCCTAGCCAATGCCATAGCCTTCATTCGATCTACCTGAGCCGGAAGGTCGGTAGGGGTCAGGAATCCGCGGCATGGCCTCAAAAACGAGGAGAGTGGGGACCAGACCGTGATACCCAGCTGTATCGTTCATGGCCTTGACGGAGAGTGCAAGAATGTGGTCATTCTGGAGTTGCGGGAATTGCTGCCGTGTCTTGCAGTAGATACCTCTCAAAAAGGAGTGATACTGCTCACCAACGCCCAATGCGTTGTGGCTCTGTACACCGGAAGGGTGGTCTGTGATCCCGGCTAGCTTGACGAGGTTGAGCCATCTATTGGACGTAAATTGGGGTCCCTGATCGGTTGCCATTATGTCTGGGAACCCAATATATATACAGACCCATATGCGCATGAAAGTGTTCCAAGTGTCATCAGCAGTCTCCTTGGGAAGGAATGAGGCCGCAGATAACTTTGTGTCTTTGTCTACCACGTGCAGGACTGCGGCATTGTCGAGGTACATGAGGTCCAGGCATACGGTCTT